TAGAACCAGAAAGTTCATCCTCAGCTCACACTGTGTGTCCATGAAAGATGGGCTGGGAGACTCTGCTCAGTAGACCCACTACTGTCCTAGGCACTGCCATGCTGGATAGACAGAACCCTGTTTCAGTCTAGCTTTTAATGCTTTGTCCCAGAAATGTCACATTCTCTCTCTACCCATGCTCTTTGACTAGATTGTGACCCAAGCCAAGGGAACCAGGAAGTACCAACAGGTACATACCCAGACAGTGGGGATCTAGATATCTTTGTTGAGCAGCACAGATGATAAGCAGCCTCCAAGAAGGTAATCTTGTGATTTCACAGGGGGCCTGAAGACATGTGTTCACAGCTAGGCATGATGGTGTTCACCTGTAACATACCTATAATCACAGTACTTAGGAGGCAGAGACAAGGGGCATCAGGAGTTCTCTGCAGTCAGCCTTGGCTGTGTGAGTTGGAAGCCAGCATGGGCTACACGAGACCCTGTCTCAGATAAACAAAACAAAACAGAAAGTGTGTTCAGGAGCAAAGGGTAAGAGACAGAGCGGGGTTCGTGCTCTGCAGCAAAGTGAGGAAGTGAAAATGGAGGCAGAGCTTTTTGTCCCATCCACTAATCCCAACTACCTGTCAGCCGCTTTCCAAATTACCACACAGAGGCTTATATTAATTACAAATGCTTGGTCTATGGCTCAGGTTTATATTAATTGGCTCTTACATTTAAATTAACCCATTTCTATTCATCTGTGTATTGCCATGTGGTCTGTGGCTCACTGGTCCCCTGGCATCTGGCTTCTGCAGCAGCTCCTTGCGTCTCCCTCGACTCCACCTCTCTTCCTCTGAGTCCTCAGTTTGATTGCTCTGCCTGACCTCATCCTGCCTTGCCACAGGCCAAAACAGCTTTATTCTCAACCAAAGAGAGCAATACATATTCACAGTGTACAGAAGGATCATCACACAGCAAGGAAGCTGCTTCAAGGCTATAGTTTTTATTTTCTAATGTAATGAGGTTGGACAGTACCATTAGATGTAGCAGTTAAAAGCCTGGAATCTGGGTATCCTATAGACTTTCTTCTTTGCTGATTACCAGTTGTATGAGCTGAGGGAAGAGACCACCCATCAAACAGATGGGAAGACAGGGAGGATGTGTTTTCTAGAATGGAAGAAGTGGATCCATACAGGTCTTACCTGAACAAGACTGATGGGGAGGAAGGATGTATGCAAAGCCTGCCCACAGTTGGAGCAGCCTGGGCACAGAGAGGGCATGCATGCTTACTCCTCAGAAACTGCTGCCTTCCTCTTGTGCCAGTGTGAATGCTTAGGCTGCGGGGGGACAGAAACCACATGCAGTTGGTTATTAGCTCAGTAAAGGGACTATTCAGGGCCCTGTGGGTCTGGAGTCCTCCCAGAGCAGTATGCTGATGTCACCAACGAGCCAAGATCTTTTGGCTTCTTGGTTCTCTGTCTTGACGGCTCCCACCTCTTATGGGCGAAACACCAGTAGCCACAGAATGTGTTGGTTTCCAAGAGATGCTTAGTTAGAGCAGAGAAAGCTGCCTTTGTCCCTGCAGTCAATAAAACTCGCCTCTTAGGCTCCAGCCTGCTTTGGCTTCTGTGGGGTCAGAGTTCTTGAACTGAAATCCTAGCTGCTTTAAGCAGAAAGGTAGAGGATATTAGGGTGCCCACAGAGGCACTGGGGGAGGGGAGCACTTTCCATCAAGGACCTAAGTGCCCCAGTGTATCTCTACATGTTCATGGCATGTGTCTTAGGATTTCTATTGCTGTGAAGAGATACCATGACCATGGCCAACTATTATAAAGGGAAAACATTTAATGGGGTGGCTTACAGTTTCATCGGCTCAGTCCATTATCATCATAGTGTGACATGGTGTCGTGCAAGCAGACATAGTGCTGGAGAAGGAGCTGAGGGTCCTACATCTTGACGCACAGGCAACGGGAAGTGAACTGACAGTGGGTGTAGCTTGAGCATAGGAGGCCTCAAAGCCTGCCCCCACAGTGACACACTTCCTCCAACAAGGCATACCTACTCCCAAAGCCACACCTCCTAATAGTGCCACTCTTTATGAATTTATGGGACCAATTACATTCAAACTACCACAGCATGTACAGGTCTTTGTGATTGTTGTTTTGAAGTAGGGTCTGGTCTGGCTGTGTAGTTCAGATTGGCTTGGTACTCAAAATGTTTCCTGTTTCAAACTTCCTGTTTCAAACTGGAATTTCAGGTGTGTCACCATGCCTGGCTGCATAATGACTTATGATGCTTCCAGAGGCTCCAGGGTGCCCTGTGTTCCCAGTGACTTACACTATTTCTTGCTGATCCATGTTGTACTCCATTTGCATTTGGCAAAATTAGAGAAAATAATTATCTATCTCATCTTGGTGAGTCTAAAGTTATTTACTTTCTATTATGACTAAAGAAAACTATAACTCTTTAGTCTTCAACTCCATCAAAGACCCCAGAAGGGTGAAATGTTACCTAATTACAGGGACCTCAAGCTGCCTGGACAGTCACCCAAAGTTTCTCTGCAACATTGGGGCATCCAACTCTGGCCTACAGGCCTAGCATAGCTGATAGACTTTCCTGTAAAGCAGGGAATTTTGAAGGACTGTCCTACCTTGTCTTGGCAAAGTTTGGCAGTCCCTCCTCTTGTGTCCTGCTGGTCCAGTTTAGACCATATATTGTCAGCAATTGAGGCAAGGGCATCTTTGCCCACATGGCTAGCTTTTGCCATGAAGAAAACAAACTCTATATGGAGTTTCTTCGATGACCATCACCCTCTTTGAAGTAATTGGTGCTGCTAAGAGCAGATGTGTCTCACTGTTGAGAAAAGTCTAAGTTCTTAAAACATTTTAAATGACATATTCTGTAGGTCTTTGCAGTGTTTGAAGACTGCCTATCTATCTGAAAGATATCTCTGTATGACCTTGAAAGCATACCTAACATGACTATAAGTTTGCTATCATAGATGACTATTAATCTGTATTTCTTAATTATATATTACATTTTTAAATGAGCTGCATAAATGTAATACCCTAAACAAGAGTAGAAGTATACATTCAGTATAACAAAATTAACTTTAAATTTGTATCAATAAATCAAAATCCATACCAATATAAAATATGTAAGACTAATAGTTGATTTTGGATTAAAGTAGATTCAATAGTCTACTCTTTTATCCTATCATTTCTATATCCCCCTTTTTCTTTTCAGAACAAGATCCCTGAATCTAATCTCCTTTGTTTAGCTTTTTTCCTGACCATTATCCATAACAACTTGCAACCAAACCCCCTGAACAATGACAAATATTCATAATGTATTTTTGGGAATGTGGGTGTAGTTCTCTAGACTACTTCTTGTTGATTGGAGGCACCGGTAATCTTTGGGGGACCCTGAGAAAATTTAGGATTATGGTGAAGTCCTGACTGGTGTATTCTGTGAGGCTGGATCATCTCAGCCAGCAACCTTGAAGCTATTCCAGATGCAGAACTCAGAGGAAACTGCAACAGAGGTTCTCTGAAACATTGGATCATCTGGGCCATCCGTTGCCATCAGAGATTTTTCAGGGGTCTTCCTGGATCAAACCTAATTTTTCTTAACCAAGAATGAATCCAGAGCCTCTAGTTTCCTGTGGAAACAAAAGCTTAACCTCTTTCCCAAAGTAACATATCTTTTGACTTAAATTTTGAAGTCAAGGCATTTTCAAAATATATAGGTTGATTTAATCTAGTAGTTTTCATAATCAAATGTCTCTTGGCAGTTATCATTTGTTCACTAGTAGTCAAAAAGATTTAAAGACAACACAATAACATACAGTATCCAGACTCTCTGTGTATTAGCCATTTTTATGTGGTTTATTATATTTTTTATTACTGTATTTCTTTTTTTAGGATTTTCTCTACTCTTTTTCTTTTCTCTCTTAGCCTATGTATGTTTTTAACACACTGTAAATTGTTAACAGGTTTTTTTTTTTTTGTCTGAATCTGTCTTACTGCACATCTCATCTTTCTCTGACCACACGAGTCTTTAAACTGCTAAGAAGCATGGCTAGGACTGAAACAGAGCTTTGGCAGCTGGCTCTGCCCCATTTTTTTGTTCCCTGAGAGGCTAGTCTTATGGCAGAGGTATGTTTACCACTAGCTCTGGGAGCCATGTTTAGCCAAGGGAAGTTTCTGAGACCATGCTGCCACTAAGTAATGTGCCACCAGCTGCTCATAAAACTCCATTTAAGTATTTGTTAGCAGGACCTCTCAAAAAGAGTTGCTCGGTTTTTGCCACTAACTGTTGTTGGTTGTTTTTGCTCTTTTGGTCTTTTTGAGGGGCCTCTCGCTTTAGCTTGGCTTAGTTTCCAGCCAGGTTTCCTTATTTTATATTAATCTATCTTTTGCCTCTGGGTTTTTCCCATTCTCTTACTTCTGTAAATCTTACTCTTACTCCGTGGCTTGCTGTGCAGCTGGTGGCTGGACCCTGGGGTCCTCCTCCTTCTCTGGCTACTTCTTCCTTCTCTCCTCCATCTCTTTTCTTCTTCTCCCTCCCAGATTTCTCCTTCTATATATTCTCTCTGCCTGCCAGCCCAGCCTATCTCTCTCTCCTGCCTTCCTATTGACCATTCAGTTCTTTAGTAGGTGTGTTAGACAGGCACAGTAACACAGCTTCACAGAGTTAAATAAATAGTAACATAAACAAAAGTAACAGACCTTAAAATAATATTCTACTACAACTAGTGCTGAGTCAGGAAGCCACTCTTAAAGGAACAGCGCCTCTGCTCGCCACCAGCAAACAGTGCCCCTAGAGAAAAAGCAGTTACCAAGAAGCCAAGTTTGACTCCAATTTTGTGTGTTTAGAATCCTTTTTTAAGTTTTGTTGGGTCTCATGTGGAAATTCCAGCCCCAGGTTGGGTGCCATGTGTAATCGGACATTTCTCTCCAGCCCTTCTGCTCCCAAATACCTGGCAGCCGCTTCCCAAATAATTGACTCAGAGGCTTAATATCAAAATTATAAATGCTTGGCCAATAGTTCTGGCTTATTATTAACTAGTTCTTACTGGCTAACTCTTACACCGGTCCGTGAGTTTCCAGACATTCATTTGTCTCTCCTTCCTATCTGGCTATACCAGCACTGTGATTACAAATGTGGGCTACCATGTGAGACTTCATGTGGGTCCTGAAGATCTGAATGCTGGCCCTCACATGGCACAGGCAAGAGCTTTAACCATTGAGCCATCTCCCCAAGCCCTTTTTAGAGAGCCCATTTGTTCTTATTGATTCCTACCTCTCTCTCTCTAACAGAAGAACAAGAAACGATGGTCATGCTCATAGCTATTAACACAATACTTGCCAGTTAGTGCTTAAACTGTTTCACTGGAGCATTAACCAAACCCTATTACTGGCATTTATAAAGTCTCTCATGTATCAAAAGACATTTTGATATCTTACATCCTCAATTATACCACATAATATATAGTATACCTTGACCCTTTAAGAATGGACACATTTAGCCAGGTGGTGGTGGTGCACACCTTTAATCCCAGCACTAGGATTAGGCACAGACAGGTGGATCTCTGTGAGTTCAAGGCCAGGCTGGTCTACAGAGCAAGTTTCAGGACAGCCAGGACTACACAGAGAAATCCTGTCTCGAGAAACCAAAACCAAAACAAAGAATGGACACATTTAGACACCTCTCCCATTTTAGTAGTTGAATAATAATACCCTTGTGGATGTTGCTACACCTACCCCTTCTGAGGGTCCCTCCCCTAACAAGCTGTTGCCATTGGCAAGAACATGCGACACCTTCAGCTGCTGTAAACCCCTCTCTGTTCACAGTGTCACAGACGTTAGCCCCAAATCCCCCTAGGATTTTGTTAACAAGTTTCAGCTTTATTCATCTTTCTTTTTTGTTGTTTATGGCTGCTTTTTCTGGAGTGACTTCCAGAGTCAGATATTAAAAAACACCTGGGTAGATTTTCCTGTATAAGAGGGAGAGCCTTTATAAAAAATGCTGCTCCTCTTATAGGAAGTTGGGAAGAGAGATTTGGAGATGGCACAGTCTCCTTTCATACTATAGTGGATCCAAGGACAACCTGGGCTACACAATACCAATTTTTCCCCATTGTGCTAGAAAGTCTTGCAGTCCTACACCCAAGCCCATCTCCCAGCATGATTTGAAGTTTATATTGGGAGAAGAGGAACAAGACAGTTATCACAGGGAACTTTCCCATGGTAAGAGTGACTGTGTAAGATACTTTAACATGCATCATGTATTTAATTCATCTCCCAAAACTGTGCCCTTATTTTATATGAGACAGAGAAAAACATTGGATACTTTAGGTTGTCTTGATCTCGTACAATTTGTACAGCAGGAGTTCAGAGGACAACTTGAGGGTCAGGTCTCTCCTTCCACTGTGTGGACCCCAGGGATGGATCTCAGGTGGTTCATATTGGCAGCATGTGCCTTTACCTACAATAGGGTATTGGGATAGGAAAGAATCTGTTTCCTATTTCTTAGGAAATTATTTCCTTAAGAAAGAACCAAAGCCAAGTTTTGTAGGTTTGGCGTCAGTGACCTGGAGGATTCCTAACTGCCACTTACCCATTGTGTGTCCTTAGGCAAATCTACTCATTTCCTAGACTCTTGGTTTCTCCATCTGTGAAAAAGAAACAACACATACTTATACATAGGTGTGTAACAGTTAACATGAGACATCCACCAGACTGGGTTAAGGAATTCTCAGCTCATTATATCTGTGTTCACTGGTCATGCCTGGAAAAGACTGCAACGTGAATCGGTGGGCTGAGTAAACCTTAATCAGCTAACTGCAAACTTTGGCAGTCCTCCAGAGCCATGGACATCTGTCCTCTGTCCTTCAACATAAGAACTCGGAGGCTTACACAAGCTCCCCCCCCCCCAAGCCCTTGCATTTTCTTGCACCTCCAGCCTAATAGTAAGAGTTGTGTCATCAGCTCTTCTGGTTCTTGGGTCTTTGGACTTGGACTGAGCTGTCACAGACTTCCATGATTGCTAGTCTTGCTGACAACATATTGTGGGGCTTAGCCTTGATGATAAATCCCCTTATGCATCTATGCCCTCTTGGCTCTTTTCTGGAGAACACTGCCTGATAGGGGTCTCTGGGAGGACTGACCAAGCTCACAAATGGACAGGGCTTGAGCTGGTAGCTACCAGTTGGATGGGATCTCTTCTCTTCATCCACATCCCCATTTTGTTGAGCTGTGTTGCCACATTCCATATGCTCTGGTCTCTCTAAGAGGAATGCTTTCTAGGGAAACTAGGATGGGAAGATTGGTGGGCCCACATTTGCTGACATATGACTGACTGTCAGGTTGGGTCATCTCAGACAACCTCAGTGCAGCTTGCAGGAATGAGCTAGAACCCCCCAGGCTCTTGAGTCTATAGAAGCTGCCACAGAGGGCCAGCTCATAGGAATGTGCAGAACATACTGTGGTGGTTTGAATAAAATGACCCCCATAGGCTCAGAGAGTGGTACTATTAGGAGGTGTGGCCTTGTTGGAGGAAGTGTGTCGCTGGGGGGTGAGCTCTGAGGTTTCAGAAGCTCAAGCCAGGCTTAGTGGCTCACTCTTCTGCTATCTGCCAATCTGGATGTGGAACTCTAAGCCCCTCTCCAGCACCATGTCTACATTTGTATTGCCATGCTTCCCACCATGGCAATAATGTACTAGAGCTCTGAACTGGAAGCCAGCTCCAATTAAATGTTTTCCTTTATAAGAGCTGCCATGGTCATGGTGTCTCTTCACAGCAATAGAAACCATAACTAAGACAAAGACCTTCCCAAAGACAGTGCAGGCCCTGGACTCAGTGCAGATCCAAATACTGCCTTACATATGGGCTATTTTCTTCATTGTAAGCTTGGGATATTATGGGTACCCACTTCGATGCACCTCAATACACCAGCCTCTCTTCTCCTGGGAAGAAGTCACATGGTTCTCCCTAATGCAGTGGTTGTCAACCTTCCTAATACAGTTCCTCATGTTGTGGTGGCCCTCAACCATAAAATTACTTCGTTGCTATTTCTTAGCTACAATTTTGCTACTGTTATGAATCATAATGTAAACATCTGATATGCAGGATATCTGATATGTGACCCCTGTGGTCGAGTACTGCTGCCCTAACGCCTTTTATGCTCTGGTTCTATGTCCATGATCCATTCTCTCCTACTTTCTCCCACGATACTCTAAGGAAAGCATATATTGCTTTTAGGGCTCTAGGGAGTTGGTGCAAAAAGTGAGAGGCATTTGATATGTAGCAGCACAAAGGCGGGTTGCAACAGACCACCTGCCAGGGTCACCTCTTTTACTCTGGAGAACTCTTGTGGGGTAGGGAGCGAAGCTGGGTTCAAGAGAAGAAGGGGGCTCTAGGGTGCGGGTCGTGCGTCGGAAAAGCCCTGACTTCACAACCAGGTCGGCTCGTACTGGCTGCCCCCCACTCACTGAGGCTCTGTGAGCGCGCTGGGGTAGCAGGCGCTAACTGGCTGACCATCTGACTTTGGGCGCAGCCAGAGTTGAGGCTGGAACCTCGGAGCTTCGGCTCCGCAGCCGGGCCTGCGCATGCGCCCCGGGCCAGCCAGGTGAGAGCGCCGTGGTAGCCCTCGCACCTGGGCTTTAACCCTTCCGGGCCACCGGCGCGGGTGGATGCCGGGTGGGAGAAGAGAAGCAGGTCGTGAAGCCCCCGGGGTCCGCACGGTGCTTCCTGGAGCTTCCAAGCCGGGGTCCGTGCCCTCCTCGTTCGGGTGGGAGGGGGGTGAGCGCGGGGCGGAGCGAAGTCTCGCGAGATCTGGCGGTAGCTGCAGCGGCGGCGGCGGCGGCGGCGGCGGAGGTGGTGGCCCGGGAGGTGAGCGGCGGACGGGCAGGAGGCGGCCGTTGGGGCTGAGGAAGGGGCGAGCTCCGGAGGGCGAGGCCGGGCTCGGGGACAGGGGCGGGTGGCA